TGGATTGGCATAAAGTAGTGTGGACCTGGAGATGAAATCTACTCAAGAATGTTGACCGTGTGTAGTTTCAGCTACTGGTACTGGTTGCTCAATACAGATTGGAACATCTTGTGAGGCCCGAATTTCGATTAACCCAAATTTCGATTCATCCACCCTTCTTCAGGCCCACATTTTGATTTTGCCACAGTCTCCGGACACCCACAAACGATGCCTCATTAGCAAATCAAATTGATGTTGAAAGTCATCGTTTCTAAGAATTGGTTTCATTCAGACCGTCTTAGGAAAGGATATGTTTCTTTCTTCTTTCAATTTCGTCTTCGGAATTCAGACAGCTATTAAGGCCAATAGTACCTATATAGCTATCGTCATCAGCTATTGTGGGTCTATCGAAATGTGGTAGAATCGAAATGTAGGTGGATCGAAATTTGATGGGCCCAATAACACAGCGCACTCATAGGTACATCAGATTTGGTATAGCGTTCCAGGTTTGTTGTATCATGTACATACAATGGGGAAGACCACTGATTTTTTAAAACGACATTATCGTGAACTCTATACTGAAAAACTACCAGTGAATTAATTTTGAATTTTTTCATTCATGTTAAGACGATGAAAAAAATAAATTAGTATATGTCCATTTCAAAACACACAATTCCTGCGCCATTTGAAATTTCATCAATTCATTGGTGTGACTGGTGCAACGTCTTAGTCCCAACACGCCTATTGTCCTTGAACTGACCAATTACACTGCAACACTGCAGAATGACGAGATATCAGAGAGAGATAGCTACAGTTCGGGACTAATACGTCACGACTCCACCATCATATTTGGCTGTTTGAAATATCGAATGAAATATGCTGATTTCAAAACGATATAGATTCGATTCCCTTCAACTTCAACTCATAATATTGATTGTACATAAAATGTAAATCATGATTCGTCGATTGAAACAGGTTTGCACGGATTTCTTCCCTCAGTGGTCTTCCCCATTCATCCTTGTAATTGATGTATTACTGCTCAATAATGTTTATTTTATCAAGATATGGATTCGAATGAAGGTAGAATTTGGCAAGGATGTTGTTTCTTTTCACCCGTTTTCACTACTTCTATATACTTTCTCATAACATGTGTTATCAATATCAGTGCGCCATCGCCATCATTATCACTAGCTTAAGCACGCGCCTTTTTAGACGCGCTATTGCAGTCGGCGCTATTATGTCGCAGCGCTAATTTTTATTGGCTAGTTTCGGGCTTTTGGCTTCCATCAGCATGGTAAAGAAGTGCAAAAGATAGGCAAATCTTGGTAGAAAACGAAAAAACAAATTGACGGAGTCAAAGAACAGAAGCTAGCCGCACGATTGTAGTTTCGGTCAGAAGACCTTGCATTTTCAAGGCTACAACTAATGTCACCACAATGACATCTATAGCTATACCTGCGTGATACCCGAGTCCAGGAGTAGAATCAAGATGGAAAAATGGTTGGAGAAATCATAAAAAACAAAACAATGTCCTCTTATGGAATTAAATTATCACTTTTCTATATCCATCATTTCGGAGATGTAGAACCTAGATGTAAAATGCCCATGCACATATTAAAATGAATGGAGGATCATCACTTATGATAACTGGGAAAACCCTCTGTGTATATTTGTAGGACACGAGGTAGGATACTATAAGACAAAACAGTTTTGATTTTCTTATGAGTATTTTCTATTTCTTTTCCACAAATATTTTGAGGTTTGTTTATTATTATTGTTCTATGGATTGAAACACGCGAAGAAAAAAAGCTGTAAAGAATACTAGAGAACTAGTGAAGTTCACTGGGAAAACAGGTGATATATATATGGACAGACATTCTTCCGAGCATTCTTCCCATCAGTAATCTTCATTTTTGAGTTCAAATAAGATGATGTAATATACTGGCTACATCATATAATAGCCAACTTCATCACGAACAGGGTGGATACCGTTCAATCATTTTCATATCCACTATATGAGGAATAGTGAATTTAACCAAAGATTTAAGAGCACTTCTTCATTGCATTCAATATTGCGCTCGATCACTATATGCTATATAGTGGACATTCCTCTACAATGTATACTGAAACGTACTTGTGCATTGTAGTCGGATTTACTTTTTAGGAAAGTGATAATATGAATCCACAACTCCATTATCTGGAGTGGTATATTATACTCTGATGAATATCGTGTTCATATAATATTCCACTATTCATAGAAACAATATTATACTTATCATAAGACTCTACCTGAAATATTTCAATCATAAACCTGAAACACAGACTGACTGACAAAAAAACAAGCCACAGCGCCGTTATTATACGTACATCGAATCATCACACGATTTTGATGAACAAAAAACGAAATAAAATAATCCCTCAAATATTAACTTTATAAAAAGGCACTGATAATATTTAGTTCTATTCAAGCTCTGATGTCAGCGACTGTCAATTTTTGAGTTCAAATAATGGTTAACACATATTTTTTTGAGTTGTTTTTGATGAATATACTTTTCTCTGGCTATCGCCCATAATTAGTTGAGAAAAATAAAGAAAACCTCTGCTGATATGAATTTTTTTTATGTTCGATGAGTTATAGAATGTGTAAATGTTTGAATAACTCTCGCAGTATACCATTTGTTCGATATATTATGCATAAATCAATTTCAGTGTCATGAAAAAAATTCAATGTAAGAGTACCTAATACTTTGATAAAACTAACGCAGGGAAAATACTTCAAGATATATATATATATATTCCAGCGGGGACACTATAAATACCTATTACTCATATTGACCACCGTCTTGCTGAACACAGAGTTGACTTCGGTTCATTAAATTGCTGGACAGTTTGAACTTCAAACAAAATCCTTTGTGTAGTTACCTGAAGCATTTCACTTGAGCATTATTCTAACTTTGAATTTTTCACGGCATTGAAAATGAAGAGTGAATAGCACACGCACGTTACAGATTGGTACCGGACAGATACAAAATTAATTCAGTTTCATTCACAGTCACATTTGATGGTCCAATTGGAAATTTCATAAAAAAAGTCAATTAATTGTCGCTGGAGTATTTTCAATTTTTCCTCAATAAGTATGTGCGAAAACAAACATCTTATATATTACTCAGTTTGAATGAAATCACGATCATCAGGAACAAATTTTGAAAAAATATATATATCTGCTGTCCTAAAAGCTGAAATTTGAGAAAAATTATTATTGCTTTCACCGAGGCTTTCACGTAGTATTTGAGAACTTCATGTTGGTCTTATTCTTATCAGAATCGGATAATTATTAACCTTGCTTTATAGACTTTGCATGGGATGTTTTTGTCAGTCAGCCATCAGGCAAAAAGATCTACTATATTCTGTACGATGTCGAATCTTGGTGAAGTATTATTGGAACAGTCTCTCCTGTCCTATATTATCAATATCCGATGATTTCGAATAGATATTATTTTCTCCTATAAATATGTTTTTCAATGCCACAATGTTCACCAGCATGTTCGCTGAATGAGTTGTATATATAGTATAGGTATCTGAATTTTCTTCGGAAATTGTCTTCAACCCAAATGATTTATGATTGACTGTATGACTGAATAACACTCGGAATAACAGGAACATTTCATCTCCGCTGACACTTACAATAGGTAACGATATGCTATTTTATCACTGTGAAATAACAGCAGAATTAACATATAAACACCTCACTTCACCGACACTAACAATAACGAAACGCTATCAAATTTTATTAATGTGCATGGGAAATAAAGGATTCGAAATCCGTGATACAACATACAGCGAACACATTCAGTTCATAACTGAAGGCAAAAGTAGAGTTTTGTCAAACCATCGTGAAAATAAACAACAACAAGTATTGGTTGTATAATACACTTCATCAGTTTCTAGGATAAACCTTACATGCGATGATAGTAAATAGTTCTGAATATATTTCAAGAACTGTTGATAGGAATTTTCAGTCTTCATCCAAATAGATTCCTGCGGAATTCATTAGTTGCATGTACAATAAGGAATAGTGAATACATCAGCTGCGATTCCTCACTTCGAGAGAAAGTACTTTTCACAATGAATTGAAAGTCATTTCCAGACTGGTGTATTTTCCTAATGAAGCTAATTATTTTCGCAGTTGAGATATACCCTCGGATATACCCAATTAGGATTCTCAGTGCGAGGTACCATAGGTTCTTGTCGACTTAGAATAGTGATTCGATATATATGAACAATTTTTAGTGTGAATGAAGTTTACATTCTTAGGTACTATTTTCATTTCTCTGTTTTGAATGCCACTCAATGTGTTTAGTGGTTTATATCCACCGATTTTATCGATTTCAACATTTGAAACTTCAGGAATATATCCTAAATATCATGGTGTTGAATTCGAATCTGATTCAAATACTGGTGGAACCAGTGAAAATTTATGGATGCTCATAGGGATGGCGCCAAAGCAGATCATCAGATTTTTCAAAATCGAATCTGGCATGCTTTATGGAAAGACCAATGCAGAGACATCATAGTCATCGCTGTGATCTCACCGGAGCACATCTTATTCAAGTCTGATGTCACAACACTGATATATCGCTAGGTAAGTCTGTGATTTTATTGAAGGCGGACAACTCGGCGGACAATCATTCAAAATATATATATATATAAGTATCTCTGATGAGAATCTACTTACCTAAACGAAGCCACAATCACAAGTTCCAACGCTCATTTTGAGTTCGATTTTGAGACATCCTTATCGTTACTCTTATTCCTTCATAGAAGAAAGGTGTTCTCAATATTGAACTCATCAGAAAAACATCATGCTTCTGCAGATTTTTGACTATGTATTACGTTTGTAGACTAGGTACCTGAACAATTGATGTTATCATCGTGATGCTGCTTATATAGATTTGATAAGCACAATAATGAGTACCTATACGGTGTATGGTAAAATAAGGTATGATCAGCTAAAGACTCACCTCCAGGAAACCTATGTGGAAAAATCCTTCCGTGCCTTGATAATAACCAGGGATACAAGGGATAACTGTCTCTAGGCTGCGCGTGCTGGGCAATAGGTGAAGGTTGTCCGGGAAACCCGTGTTGCCCGGAACTTAATGCAGCAGCAAGCGCTGCGCCTTGAAAGTGCGCTGCGAGAGCAAAAGGGTGCTGCCCGTGGTTGTGTATCATCTCGGGCTGCAAAAACCCGTTTTTTGGAACCACCAAGTTCGGATCGTAAGTCGGGTTTGGTCTGACCAATGTGTGAGCAGGGATTCCGGGCACCATGATAGGTGGTTTCGGTGAACTGTCAGGCGACCGATGAGGTGAGGAGGAGAAGTGCTTCGGAGAACCATTTAGCCTATTATCTATATCACTGCTTGGCGACAAAGGCGCAGAACTTTCAGAATACTGTACCGGCGAGTGTTGGGGGCTTCCCTGGTTGGCACCACCGACGATAGAATCAATAGAGAATCCGATTTTGGGTTTGGAAGGCACTGCCACTATTGGTGTCGGTGCCATAGGCATCATGATTGGGATTGTGGACAAAGTTAGAGTAGAGCTCCGTTGCACTAACATGAAAAGCTCTCCAGAAGTAACATACTCCACTTATTGTTCAACTTCATTATCACTAATATGCACTGAAAGTATTCATCACTAGCTCGATAGTATAGTTCTTCCCGTCGGATACTTTTGACACTTAGGTATTGCACACACTTTTCGTAGATCATTTATTTGAATCCATATATACTGACTAATGAGAAATACTTGTTGTGAAAATTTAGTTCAATTAGCCGATGATCCTCTGCTGATGAGGTGTTGGCCGATTAATACCGAAACGTGTTACGTGCTACCGCCAACAAATCTCTTCCGTTAATAAGTGAAATAAACGTTGGACGTCCACCGTTCTGTAGGGTGGGGGTAGAATTTGAGTTGTTTAAGTTTTAGTGGGGTATCTCGGAGTAAGGATTGGTGTTCACTGGGCGATCCCAGCGAAGAGAAAGGCAGTTGCTATTGGTGCAGGCGCACAATACAAATGGTATTAAGGCTGTCGTTGCCGCCTCTTATTTGCACCTCCTCAACGCTTGGTTCAAGAACTCGTTTACTGCAATTAACGTCCAGAAATTACACTTATGGCATAGTAGACTTTGAGACAAACTGGTTCTGGCTATTCGTTGGTAGTTTCCTACTGTTCAAGAGGTCTAGGGACATTCTTATATATTTATTTTTCAAATTATTGACGTTGTTACGCCTCCTGATGCGCACGCATTGGAAGAGGCGTGGTGTGGTTGAATGTCATTTACGAGTTTAATTGCATAGCTCACTAATATAGATACACCTAGGTATAATGCTTTCATTGGTTCCTCTGTGATATAACTATGCTTTTGGGTTCTTAATGCAATTTCAGAATTGCATAGGGGGGAATTAATTATCTTTATCTATCAATATGATCTCTCCAGATGACAGAATGACCGATAAATTTTATGTCTCACTCATATCTATATAGGTATAGTTGAATACCGTATCAATATGTCTGCGCGAGATTCAAACTTTTCATGGTTCTAATACTTACCTATATAGGTATACGTTACATAAAATCGAAAACACAATATATTTAAGTAGATAAATATAGAAACACAGTGGAAAAGAAATAACACCGTTCACACCAGCTAACACCATATGGGTGTCCCCTGAGGTCCTGATTAGGTACACTGAGAGAAACTGGATATTAAAAATATCTACCAGCTCTGATTGTAATAACCATTATAAGGAAATCTCCTATTCCTGATCATTTTAGTATTACAACAGTATTCTCTCCATTCTGTAATTATAAAAATCGATTTCTTAAATCATTTGTAATACCCTTGAATGGACATTTGCTACCATCATAACGCAGGTGTGTTATGACATTAGGAGAATTTTATTATTTAGATTTTTTATTGACATAGCTCGTTTTGTGAATTATGCTCATTGGTGAATTCAGATAATGTTTGTCCCAATAATCATAGCTGTTTGGGTTTCTAGCATTGTACGTTGACGAATAACTCTAGCAATTCACATGTATGACGGTTATTAGGCAATCATTCGACAATCGTAATTCGGCTCATTTCGCTCTAGTGTTTCATTAGTATTGGGGATGACAAAGATACAGATCGCGTTCATTTCACTGTTGTTCTCGGTCATGGGTGCCCGTGTTCAATTATTGTTCAATAGTTTCGATCGTCCGAATCGATAGAGTCGTGTCTTGTAGGTGAATGTCTGTGATGTAGCAAAGTTTTGTTTTAGTGCTGGCTGTGAACCGATCTGTGGAATACACCGTGCATTGCATTATTGCAATGAAAAAAGTATTCTCCATACCCACTTTTCACGGCCTAACATTGGTTTATTTCAAAAACAAAATGATCGATTAGATTCTGAATCAAAATATCTGGGTTTCTGTGAGGGAAGTTTATCTCTTTATGTCTCATCATAACTCCGGAGGAAGGGTAAATATAAGTATTCAACTTCTCATTTCTTGATAAATTTGGCAGTAATGCATATAGATGATATTTCTCCGAAAAAATCGATGAGTAATGTCAAAAAAACTTCCACAGATACCCAAATATTTCAATTCAGAGACTCGACGTATTTTTTTTTTGTTTTTTTGAAAACAATAACATTGTATCATGAAAAGTGATAGTGTGGATAGGATATTTATTTTCATTGCAATAATTCAAAGCACGATTTCATAATGCATACCATCGAATAATGTTGATTAGATAACCTTATTACCACTGTTTGATGAATATACTAGAGTAGAAAAATATTGGGATAACTGTTGAAAATGAGCTATATTACAATAGCATGTCGAAATGTCAGGTTCCATGCAGATATCAGATAACTATTATAAAATGAGATGTATTACTGCATTACCTCAAGATGGTTGTGCCAGTAATAAAAACATGCTGTTTTATGTCGATAGTCTAATAACCACTGTAGAGTGGAGAGTTACTGCAACATATTATGGGAATAATTCCTATTCGACATTCTGTGTTATCATAGAAACTAGAACAAGTACCTAGTAGTTATTTAGCAGCTGTGTTTTTATACAAGATTGCAAATTGAATAAGCTGCCATAACTACAAGTCACCTGAAAATTCACTTCATCTATGGTAGCAAATGAACACATCTGTCCCCTATTTATTGCAGATATCGTAATAACGGTTATCAGATTTCCAATTATGATAACTCAAGTTTTCTCTCAGTGTATTTTGATGAAAATCAACACTGATATTTTCAACACCATCATAGGGTGTCATTCGTTGGTTCTCACATATACAGTCAAGAACTTTTCACTAGAGTTCCTATAGTGCTAATTTGATCGCGGTTCATGTTATTCAACACCATTTGGTGATTATTTCGACACTGCATCTGCTGCGTTTCGGCTTTCACTGATGATAGTATGATATGCGAATATTTTTAGGATATTTTTCTGTTGTGAAAACACATACTTATTGAGTGTTGTCACGCTGAGAAGCGGAGCTTTCTTGTCTGCATCTGAGTGTTGATGGATAACACGAAATCTGATATAGGTACCTACTAACATCAGTATTCAGTATAGTGAAATGATCCATTGAATATAGTGAGAGTTATACAATTTTCCAGTAAACATAAAACATTTAAACCTACCTATACATTTCAAAATTACTTTGATTGTCAATGATAGAAACATATCAGTTACTATCAGGAATGTTCCAATGCGTTCGAAATATGTTTGAAACGTTTCATGATACCCCAAAGTATTGAGATTTTGAAACATTCCAAATATACCTATACTCCTATTGCGAATCACTTCAATAGTGCAAGATAACTTGAATTGCTTATTCAAGGAACACTTCAAAATCACCTGAATTTCAAATGATTGGAACATTCCAATTTCCAATATGACTCTCATTCTGAATAATGGAAACATTTTTGGGGAACTTCCCAGGGATATTTCAAAATTTTGGCAACATTTCTGAAACATTTCAAGACAACTATAATTGATATATACCTATTCCAAAACATTTCGGAATTACTCGAATAGTATAGATGCATGAAACATTCAAAAATCATTTTGTTGTGAATAATTGAAACATTTCACTCCAAACTTATTCAAGAATGTTCCAATGCGTTTGGAATATGTTTGTAACATTTCAACTCAACTTGTAATTAACTATCTACCAGACATTAAATTGGTACAGATATATAGGGTGATCAGAATTCTGAATCTTGAACCACTCTTATTCGTTATAAGTAGGTACAATTGAATGTCAGTAGATAGTAAATCAATAAGAGTTGAGATAGGGACATGTGAGCAGTTTTGATCGATAATTGATAGTTTCGACACAAAATGATTCGAAAGTTGAAAAATCATGATTTTGAACACCCTATATATCTCTGTAATGGTTTCCGCTAGACCCCAAGTGTCATGTATTGTTGAAATCATCTATATTCAGGGAGAATTTGGAAATGTTATGATTTACAGGGTGTCCCGTTAAAAAAAACATCATCAGCTGATATCTTGGAATTCGAACACCCCATATAGATATGAGAATAATTTCTTTTTATATCATGGTTTGATTAATATTGAAGGAGAACGCACTATACTGACTCACCCTGAAAGAGTTTGAAAAAACGTGAATCAAAGAGAACGATAGATACATTTATTCACATATAGAAAATAGAAACGTATATAGGTACTCATAATAAAAACAATACAAACTTGAATCTAAAAGGTCGTAATCATCCACCCTGTATCTGTATCATTTTTAACTCATGAAAAATACTTATGAATCCTTCTTTAACCACTGCAGCCAATTTACTCAGTCCATGGATACAAAACTCAAATTATCAAATAAGATATATATAAGATGAAAGGGATAAAAATATTAGTTCTTCGAATAAACAATAAGTAACAATAATTACTCATTACTAGGTATACTGTTACTTTCGTTCACCATTGTAATTTCAGTAATCTTAGGAGTGGTTTCATTTTGCAAACCTGATTTCTTAGTTCAATTAAAAAACATCCATCTGTGCAAAGATAAGAAAATAGAGATAGATCAACAACAAAAAATCCCCCTTCCTTAAATACTACCTACTAAGTCTATATATGGCCGTTAATCACAAATAAGTAGTTCACCAAATAAATCAAGTTCAAATCGCGAACCATCCAAAAATTGTCAATGACATGAAATACCTTGTTTCTTCATCAGCTGGAGCAGGACATAGTAGAAATACATATACATATACATATACATACATGCACGGTACATGCACCATGTCAATCACGACAATGTCGACAAACCATAATTATACCATTACCAGTTTTATTGCACCCTGTACTGGACACAACATCTTGATATGAAGGTTATAACTATTTTTTTCCAACCAAGACATGATCAACGATCGACTTTCTAACTGTGAATAATTTTTTAATTGAGAAACATGCATGACGGAAACGATATCACTCACTATATAGACGGCACAACTTAACTGATTCTTTGGTCTTTCCGAAATTTCTCTTCAAGGCCACAAATATCCCTTCTGTCGCATTGTCCTTGACTTATTTTCGCAAAACTCGTCTTTGCAGGCCCAGCAAACATGATTTTTGCGGCCCTCTAAAGGTACAATGGAACATGCCGGCGAGCGGTAACAGCGGTCCTTTATTGTACAACTAAATTGGGCCGGCTAGCCCGTGTCCCGGCGGCCGACAGCCGACCGCCTCTCTAGAGCCATCAGTATGCCGCTTATTACATTGCAGGGCTTCTGGTGGGCAGAAGCAAGTACTCAAATGTACTGCATTCATGGCATATCTTCGGCCCGATTGAGAATTTTCA